CCTAACGGGGTACACACACAGACTACACAACGGATGACAGTCTCGTATCATTGCTGCCACACAAGGATCCCACTGCTATTCACGTAAATTCAATCATCTAGACTCAGGAAACCACTCACCAGCAAAGTACTCGTTTGGCCTCCAACTTTCTCCATCCTAAGATTATGTGTTTATTAGGACCGAATAGGAGAGTCAAAGTATAGTTAAAGGAAAGCTCTGATTGAAATTCTTCCCGTGTGGGGTGGCTCCTTGATTACTAATTTATCTGCAATTGTAGTTTGGAAAGTGCTGGCCAGTACTTTTTTATTTTTTGCAAAACGAAGCAAGTATCATGTCTATATGAAATCTGCACCCGCTCCCCCCCAAAAAAAACAGATGGGAACAGAACAGCAGGTAGCTTTGGCGAGGGAGGGGAGGAGAGGAGAAAATGTTCTGTTGGCATTTGGAAGATGTAGTGTACAAGGGTTTTAAGGGGGTTGTTGTAGTGTTCGGTGACTCATCTGTATTTTCTGAGTACAAAATGGAGAAGGGTGGGTAGGAAGAAAACAAGGTTGATTGGTAGAGGGAGAAGGTTTACTTAAGACAGGGGGTGGAGTGGAACACTGGGGGATGAGGGAAAGACTTGGCATTCATTATGTGGTATGAACTGAGATCATAATAACCAGTTGTCGTTGTTGATCAAGTTAGTTTACCTACAAAGTGGTTAGATTGTTGAATAAACTTGTATCGAGAAATATCCCAGATGTTGGCTGGTATTTAAACCTCTGGTCACCACTAAAACATTTTTTCCCTGTTTCCCTTGAAAAAGAAGAAGTAGTCCTGTCTCTATGTAAGCTATTTTTGAAATATAGTTAGCTTTATAAAAGGACTTCCTTAAAATTATCTTTTTTTTTTTTTTTTTTTTTTAGTAAAACATATGGAAGTTTGCATAGATCATCTGTACAGCTTGAGAAAAAAGTGAACACATGCATGTACCACCACACCAGATCAAGAAATAGAACATTACTGGTATCCCAAGCCCTGTGTGTCAATCTCCTTCCTATAGGAGAGTACCATTGTCAAGATTTCTTAGAATTTTGCCTGTTTTTCCTTCGACTTTTCATTTTGAGACATTTTAAATCTATGGCTAAGTTGAAAGAATAGCATTATGAACACCTGTATCACGTTTACATGTATTTACTTTTTTTTTAACATTTTGCCACATTTGTTTTCTCTCTCCTCTATAAAGACATTTCTTTTATTAAATTTTGACCTATTTGAAAATAAGTTGCAGACATGATGACACTGACATCTAAATACTTCAGCATGCATCTCCTAAAAATCAAAGAGATTCTTTCATGTATTGATTTTTCTCTATGCTTGATTTACAAACATTTTCCAAAGTTAAAGTGTGATATTACTTACATAAATCTATACACATTCTCCTAATCTTCATGTTTAAATGATTAAGCAAACTTACAGCTGATTGACAAATTTAAACTTCCTTTAACTTTCAGAAAAAATAGTATGAAAACAAGCACTAGTTATATAGTATGAAACATTCAACAGTGTTTTTAGTACTCTATTGTTTATACTTTTTTTTCTTTTTCTTTTTCCTGTCAGTATCTGTGTATCTAAGTTTATACTTTTTGAATAGGCTTAATGATTTTTACAGAAAGATCTTGACCACAGATAATCTGATTTTAATGATTTTTCAGATCATAGTATGGGTTTAGGTAACTATGCTGTTTCCTTAATTTCTCTTTTCCATTTTGGGGCTGTTGTTTAGGGCTCAGTAAAGAGACAGCACTATATGCCTGTAGTACCTGCACCCCAGAGGGAGAAGAACCAGCAGGAATTTGTCTAGCTTGCAGTTATGAATGTCATGGAAGTCATAAGCTATTTGAGCTCTACACAAAAAGGTAAACATGCTTTTATCATTCAAAGTATGTGTATTAGTGAATTTTTTTTTTTTTTTTTTAAGAATGGGATCTCACTCTGTTGCG